CTGGGTAAAACAGCTTTTAAATATGCTGCCCCCACAGCTTGGAATAATGTTCAGAAGGAGCTGAAACTCTCAGATTTAATCACTATGGGGGAATTCAGGTCCATCTTAAAGGACAGAGAACACGACACCATTGGTAGATGTGAGTGCTCGTATATCCTAAAATCGTTTAAAATTTTGCCAGTTTTGAATGATTTTTAATAGTTTGTTTTACTTCGCATATTGACTGGCTAATGTGCCATTTTATTTGTGTTTTACAGCTGTATTTGTCTGCCTGTCATGTCTGTGTTTTATCTGTTGTAACTTCGTACATGCTGCCCTTCTTGGCCAGGTCACTCTTGGAAAAGAGATTTTAATCTCAATGAGTCTTTTACCTGGTTAAATAAAGGATATATATATGGAGACGAGAACAGTTGTCGGTCATTCTGGTAGCCCCAGGTTGCCGCTCGGCGCCGTGGTACACGGAAGTGACACAGATGATGGTGGGCCAGCCTGGACAGTTCCTCAGTTCCGGGGGCGCTGTCTCAGGAAGCATTAGGGGCGTTGGCCCACTCTGGGCCAACCTCTCCAGGCTTGGCTCCTGAGAGGGACAGGCTGAGAAGGGGTGGACTGTCTGACAAAGTTATACAGACTATCCAGGCAGCAAGGGCGGGATCCACCACAGCCTGTTACAGGACGAAGTGGTTGGGATTTCTACAGTCACTGAAACTGGTACAGCCGGGCGATTGGTTCACAAACCATCGACCTGAGGGACGCTTACTTTCATGTCGAAATTGCTAGAAAGCCAAAACACAGGAAGTATTTGCGTTTTTATTTGATCTCAACGACCTCATATTCATGACCAGGTCCAGGGAATGGGCAGATGTTCCACACAGCCCAATTGATCTTACACCTAACCAAGTTGGGGATTTGCGGTCAATTGGAAGAAGAGCAGTCCCATACCTCACCAGCAGGTGAGGTATCTGGGGATTTTGCTCAATGCAGCCCCCATTGAGAGCGAGGGGTACGCCCCCATCGAGAGCGAGGTGTACGCCCCATCGAGAAGGAGGGCAGGCTACATGCCACTCTGTCAGAGGACAGACAGACGTGGTGTGAGGAAGGGAGTCCTCTATCCTGGCTATAGCTACTGGTGGACAAGGGGCTTGCTCATGCCACAGTCAAGGTGTAAGTAGCAGCCATCTCGTCCTGCCATGAGGGATTTGGCGGCAGACCAGTCTTTAGCCAACCACTTATGAAGCGTTTTTTGCAGGGGATCAGGAGACAGCGCTCAGTGGTGCATGTCTCCACCCCGCAATGGGAACTGCCATTGGTGCTCGAGGCTTTGGTTACAGAACCGTTGGGCCTCTGGAGCTCACCTCCCTGTAGGCGCTATCATTGAGAGAGAGAGAAGCAAAAAGAAACAGCTTTGCTGCTTGCTTTGACTTCTTCCAAGAGAGTATGCGAACTGACCGCTCTATCGGTGCACCGTAGCAGGGCGACACACAGACCGAACCCCTCCTCTGTTCCCAAGAACCTAAGGAGTTTTTCCAGGTCGAGGGTTATACAGCTAGACGGCTTTAGTCGTCCACCTATGCACGGCGGCGTCTTCGTCTACGCCAGGCCCGTTCATAAGGTAAGTATCTCTTAGACATATCTGGCTGCTTTTTCATCGTCGGTGCTTGCTGGGGCAACACAGGACTGGTGAAAGGAGGAGGGCTGTGGGTCAGCAAGCTGTATCTGACTCCCTTGGACATAATGCACTTATGTTGTCCCATGCTCCTTAGGGACCTGGGAAACGTGGTGCGCAGTAAGCCCATACAGGGCTCGAGGACTTGTTGGTAGCCTTCCCCACTAGGGTCCGTGCACACACTACACGAGGTAAGCGTGTGAGTGTGGAGGACATAGTACACTTACGTTTTCCCCATGCTCGTTAGGGACCTGGGAAACGTGGTGCGCAGTGTGTAGTCACTTGCGCTGGCACCTGCAGCTATGGGCTTATTCAGACCAATTAGGCTCTACCCAGCCAAGTAAGCTGTGGCCCCGACTTCTCCACGGTCTCAACCGGGTGATAGGAAGTTGGGGTGCAGTGGCCGTTAACCAAAGGCCGGTCAGGGGCAGTGTGGTGGGTCAATGTTGTGGGACGACAGGGCGTTTATCCATCGGGGCTCCACACACTACCCATAGAGTCCAGTAGAGGGCGGAGCCTGTGTGAGATATAATGGTGGGTTACGTTTTGTAACCCTAGTTCTATAAGCACAGGCGGAGCCCTCTACCTAGGAGCCCTGTCTTTCCTATGCCGCCCGCTGAAGAGGGTGTAGGATGACAGTCAGGAGGCGTAACCGCCTTATATACTGTGAGCTGCGCGCACATTCAGGTAGGCTCGCCCTGATTGGCCAGCTACGTTTATACAACTTCAGTGTGTGAACGCTCGCATATCATTGATGAGAGTAGTACCCATAGAGTCCAGTAGAGGGCTCCGCCTGTGCTTATAGAACTAGGGTTACAATACGTAACCCACCGTTATGTCTACGGAAGCCTCAATAAAAATGTGAGGGGAAAAAATTCCATACATGACCAATTTCGTAAGTGAAATATCATGTATTGTGTGCCTTAAAGACCTGGCACACCCATTATATTTATTAACCTCTTAAGCCCTGAGCCTGTTTTTCAGGTCTCAGGCTCGAAAATGACATTCCCAGAACAAATGACCATATCTTCCCTTCTAAAAGGGTTAAATTAATAATCTTTATTCTCAAAGTAATGATAAACCTGTGAGTTGGATGTAGAAAAGTCAGAATCAATATAGATGTTTTTTATTTTAAAGAAAATTCAGATTTTACATAGTAAAAAACTGTAAATTATAGTGTCCGTCCAAAAATTATTTTTTACTTATAGTGAAAACTACCCTTGGATGATGGGTTAGTAGACTAAAAGCTTTAGGAATCCAAAGTACAACATATAAGTACCCTGTATCAAGATTGATGCAAAACAAGTGAAATTTGACCTTTTTAGAGAGATTTAGCCAAAAAACCCCACTTCTGGGGTCATTTGGGTGGATTTGACCTATCTCTGGCCCCCCTTGGTCGATTTTGATGAATGAAATCTCTTTATAACCGCTAGAGCCAATGGAATCGAGGGACAGTTATATACACACCAAAACGTTAACAAATAAGGAGTGAGAGTGACGCGTTACCAAAACCGGAAGCTGCATACACTCTGGTGGCTACCATTAGCAGCTAACTTTTCCGCTCCGATTTTTACATAAAAAATGGAATTATGGATTATAAATAATGTTTTAAAAGGTACAGGTACATTATCAACCTATGGATCAACAGTTGTAGACATTTTATTTTTCGTTTTAATGCCATTGAACACGTCTTTTGACCTAATTGACAGCTACGGTGAGATGATCTGCCGTAAAAGCTCCGTAAAGGTACGTGTTGTGATGTCTGTGTTTGCTTCCCCTGTCGCAAGTTCGGATCGCTCAGTGATGATACTATACCTAAATAATCAGTGGAGTCTCAGCTTTAATAGGCTATATTGTATGTGCAGCTACGATAAGTAATAAGGGTATCTTTATCTTGAATTGTGTGCCGCAGTGCGTTAGATTTTTTTCGCTCGGGTCATTTAGACCCTTCTTATGAGACTTGTGTTTTGTTTTGGTAAAAATGGTTCATATCTTCAGTTAGCTGAGATTCTTCCCGTTAATCTGGTGCTACACATTAATAGTTTCATAAATGTTAAGAAGCCCTGAGACATTATCTCGAAAACAAAAAGGTGGGAGGGGTCCAATGGGGGGACCGCCGTGCTTAAGAGGTTAATGATTAGACCTTCCAAGGTACAAACTGTGCGACAGGACCCTGAAACAGAAGCAGCTAAATGGAATTAGCCATTGTTTAATTGTATTATACACCTGGCCTTTTTGTACTGTGGTATGTCCAGCGCCATATAGAGAGAGAGTTATGACAACGGAAGTCCAAAATGCTTGATCGTCACGTGGTTCAGGGAGAATCAATAGTTCCCCGGAAGTTTGTGGCGGGACATTTGAATGCATTATTACCGGAGATAGAACTACGATTTTTGGTAATAAGTAGTGAATAAAGGTTTTGATTTGCAATATTTATACAACATACCAATATGTGTATGTATTTACATCAATATGTTTTAAAAATAAAATAGAATCTGCTCATATTTATGGGTAATATTAGGAATAGTTAACAGCTAGTTTACTTGTTAACATATACATGTTAGGCTAACGTTGCCTTGGTTAAAGAGCCTGTTGCTGTTGTGTATTGCTTTGAATTATTTAAAACTAATATTATCTTCTTAAACAGGTATGGTAGTCAGGAGCATCACTTCCTAATGTTTATTGATATATTTAGAGGGAGGGGATGGCAAGAAATGCTTCAAAATTTAGATTAGATTCATTTCTACCATTTTTTTTAATTCATGGTGGTTTCAGTAATCCCATGGTACTTGAGGACATAAGTAATCTAAATGACTAATGTAATTTGTATGACTTTCAGAAAGGACAGGAGACCAACAGGTGACTATCAATGGACTAGCAGCAACATGATTATGACGTTAAATGTGTTGTTTTAGGAACATCCATTGTAAATACATGGAATTCAATAAACATTGAATAGCATGTCATGCAGTTTGTCTGTGCCTTTTCCTCCGTGTTGTCCTGGCATATAGTCTCCACCATAGTTTGCTGTACTGCCTGGGGATGCTCCAATCGTTCCGAAAAAGGAGTAAGAATCAGAATGTACGGCTTCCCCACTGACACAGAGAGGAGGAAAAAATGGCTAGCTCAAGTCAGCAGGAGCAATTTAACCATCAAAACAGACAACCGCAACAAAATATGTGAGGTAATCATATTCAAACACGGCATTTGCACTTTTTCACAAAACGAAGACCACACCATTGGGAAGCTTAATGTTTGGTTTAATACAAATAACAGGGAAAGGCTTGAAAAACTCTGAGAGTTGAGACTCAGGGTGCAGGGTGAGGGTCTCAGTGCAGGTATTCAGGCTCTATTGAATCCCCCTCTGGTTCTTGTGCTGAAAGAGGGAGAAACAGACAGGAGAAAGGGTTATACACACACCTATATAGCACACCTATTGGATGGGAAATTGCCTTGGGGAGATAAGGTGTGGTCTTTGTTTCCAACTGAAGTTATGGAACTTTATTATTTGTGAGTTTAACAACAAGTTTAAAGTATGACAAATGGCATCAGTAATGGATGTGATATGAATTTTTATAAAGTTGTCTCACATTCTTGGTCGTATTTTACGTACAGTATGTAATGAGTGTATACATGTCCAGTAAGTATGAAGTGTTTCCCAATACTGTGCATTCAACTACTATGGGATATGTATGTGGGCAGACAAAACTGTGTGTGTGTGTGTGTGTGTGTGTGTGTGTGTGTGTGTGTGTGTGTGTGTGTGTGTGTGTGGTGTGTGTGTGTGTGTGTGTGTGTGTGTGTGTGTGTGTGTGTGTGTGTGTGTGTGTGTGTGTGTGTGTGTGTGTGTGTTGTGTGTGTGTGTGTGTGTGTGTGTGTGTGTGTGTGTGTGTGTGTGTGTGTGTGTGTGTGTGTGTGTGTGTGTGTGTGTGTGTGTGTGTGTGTGTGTGTGTGTGTGTGTGTGTGTGTGTGTGTGTGTGTGTGTGTGTGTGTGTGTGTGTGTCACTCTGCAGGCACATTTTGATGCAGACCAGTTTGTCAAGACCAAAAAGGGCAAGACTAGGCTGAGAGCAGATGCTATTCCCACCATCTTTGTGCATCGCCCTGTGGTCAAAAAGAGGAGGGCCCCTGCACCACGATGCACCCCGGGACCTGTAAATACAGAGCCCATAGCTGATGATCACAGCTATAGTGTGAAAGGTGACACAGGTATAATAAGTCTGAACTCTTAATAATAAAAGTAATATTTCTTATTTTTAAGTGGTATAATATTTTGAATGTTCGAAAATTAACAGTGCCATGTCTTCTACTTACATTAGTCTCAAAGATTGAGGGAAGAAGGGATGAGGAGACTGAGAGAAGGGAAAGTGAGGGTGAAGAAAGAGAGGACATGGCTAGTGAGGAGAGACAGGGAGAGCGGACACCACCCAGTCAGCATACCAGGGAACCAGCAGCCAGTCAGCATACCAGGGAACCAGCAGCCAGTCAGCATACCAGGGAACCAGCAGCCAGTCAGCATACCAGGGAACCAGCAGCCAGTCAGCATACCAGGGAACCAGCAGCCAGTCAAACAGATCTATTAAAAAAATTAAAGAGACAAGAAGGAATCACCAAAAAAGCAAAGGCTGCACTAAGAAAAATAAGGAAGTAAAATGCAGCTCTCAAGAAAACAATGAAAATTAGGGACAACAAATTTAAGAAAACTTTTTCTTAAAGGTGGGGTAGGTAAGTTTGAGAAACCGGCTCGAGATACACTTTTTGTTATATTCCATGGAATGCTCTTAACACCCCGATAGCAATGAATATTTTAAGTGCTTTGACAAAAAATCCATACAAAAATGTCATCTGTGGAAGCCGTAGTACTGTAAAAAGCACGACCAATCATTTTAGCCGGCCCGGCTAAAATAACTGGATGGCCTACCTGCCTGTCAGCCTTCCATCTGTGCACAAACTTATCTCGTGCCCTCATTGGTCTTGTGCACGTTCGTGTGTGTTGGAGGAGGGGCTCTGTAAGGAAGTGGCAGATTTTTTCCGGCTGTGTATTTTCAAATTCTAGCGATCTCGAGCTGGTTTCTCCAAAATTACCTACCCCACCTTTAAGGCATTGGGCAGACTTACAAAGGGAATGAAATGGAGCAATGAGACAATTAAGAAGGCTTTAAAAATGTGCTTTGCTGCCGGACCAACCGGTTACAAAACTCTGCAGGAATTGCAGATTCCCCTGCCAGGAATAAGAACACTGCAAAGAAGAATGCAATGTGTTAAGTTTGAGCCTGGTGTGTTGACAGAGGTCTTTGATTTCCTAAAATTGAAGGCAGATAGATTGACTGACCTTGAAAGGGAGTGTGTGTTGACCTTGGATGAAATGGCAATCACACCAAGTGTGGAGTTGGACATGATTACAGGCAAACTGTACGGTGATGTAACTTTACCAGGTCACACAGGAGTGGCAACACATGCTTGTGTGTTTATGTTGGCTGGAAACACAACACGGTGGAAGCAAGTAGTGGCATATCATTACACTGGCAATTCTACCAATGGAGCAGAGTACAGGCCAATCATTATTGAGGTAATACAGAGGGCAGCATCCATAGGGCTACATGTGCTTGATGTCACCACAGACATGGGTAGCCCTAACCGAGCCATGTGGAAATCCTTTGGGGTCGACCAAAATAAAACATCGGTGCCACATCCAGCAACACCAGACAGGCAGCTTTATTTCATGCCCGATGTTGGTCTTGCTCTAAATGTATTCAGTAAGGCTACAAGTGCTGGGCTGAAATACATGGTGCAGCAAGAAAACCGCCCTCTGTCCTAATTGACGACAGCATGGTTCCTGGAGCAGGTTGATCGTTGGTTTGATCTCATGTCATCTCGCCATCCAATTACAGCCCTGAGCAGGCTCAAGATGGAGGAGTACCAAAAGGCCATCACCTTCCTCCAGAACATCGTCCATCTGTTTCGTGGGATGAAGATTGGTCAAAAGGGAGGTTGTAAGCCTGTTCAAACAGGGGTGATAATGGCAACAACATCAATTTTGGCCATACAGGAGGATATGCTAATACGAGGACACAGGTTTGTGTTAACGTCAAGGTTCACACAAGACTGCCTTGAAAATACCTTCAGCTGTGTGAGGTCTAAAAATCCTGTCCCAACTCCAGTGGAATTCCATCATGCACTGAGAATCATATCTGTGGGGCAGTTCCTCACCACCATCAGCTCTGGGAGCTACCAGGAAGACCACAGTAGCTTTTTGGCAGACTTCCTGGACACAGTGGAGCAAAATATCACTCCATCAGTCAGAGTGGAACCGCTGATGGCGGTGAACAGAGCAGCACCTCACCTCACAAAAACTGAGAAATGTATTCTCTTCCATCTTGCAGGCTACATCGTCCACAAAGTCATCAAGTTTGCCAGCATCTGTGAAAAATGCAAAATTGCAACAGAGCACAACGATGAGAGTCCTTCTGGTGAAAACAGCATTTTAGTGAACTTAAAAGACTTCAAGGCAGGTGCTCTTTGTCGTCCCTCCCAAGAAGCCTTTGATTTCATTCACCAGATTGAGGAACTATTTAGGACCAAGACTGGTTCCTCCCTCATGCAGCTCCCCAACGCAGTGGGTGTCTTGGAGAAAGAAGCTCAGGCACTCTCCAGCAGGCTTCCATCATGCTGTGGAGTACAAGACAAAATCATTAGAAGATTCATACGGCTGAGGCTGAGAATCGAAGCAAAACAAATCCGAATTGACAGGGAAAAAAAACCCTTAAAAGATGGACATCTTGGAAGCAAGAGCCAATCCAAAAAGGTGAAGAGGAACAACAGCAGCCAAGCTTCAACATCCAGCAACCCCCAAAAAAATCCACAGCTGCTATCAAACCCATTAGTCGTTGCAATGGAAATATTTGGACTAACCATTGCTCCTCCACCTGCCAGCACCACTGCTCCTCCACCTGCCAGCACCACTGCTCCTCCACCTGCCAGCACCACTGCTCCTCCACCTGCCAGCACCACTGCTCCTCCACCTGCCAGCACCACTGCTCCTCCACCTGCCAGCACCACTGCTCCTCCACCTGCCAGCACCCAGCCAACATCCCTGCTCCTCCACCTGTAACATCACTGCCCCTCCACCTGCCATACAGTAGGTTACTAATATACACTAACAAGATTACTTATATGATACAGTGATAGAATACATGTTTAGTATGCTTACTTATATACAACAGTAGTATTAAACTTACCTTGTGTTTTCACTCTCACTTTGCCATCATTTCAAAATCAGCTGAGATGCAACAACACAGACAGGTAATAATCAACAGAATACACTAAAAACACTCACCCCATAAATTACGTTTTTGTTTACTGTTTGGAAGTCTCAAATATGCACTCTAAATTAATATCAATAGCGATGTATCACACAAATAGCTCTCTTCCTTATTATTGTGTAATGTTAACTTTATTATACTAGTTTGTAGGCCTACTCCAAAATGGAGATCGTGATTTCTCCACCTCCACTCATTACAATCACATGTGCCCCAATGTTATATTTAACTAATATTATATTCCTCCACCCCACAAAAAAATCACGTTTAGAAGCCCTTTTTCTCTAATTCCACAACGTTGGATGAAATAACATTAGGAGAACAGATTAATAGGCTGTTCATGGTTACCGTGTGTTGCTAACTTTATCCGGTATCCTAGCCTAATCTGTTATCTGTAAACGTTCCCTAAATCTACTGATTTAGGGATAATCCACTAACATCCTTTAATACACATGTTCATTTGACTCAGATGTGCTGATAATATCCGCAATATAAATCTTTAAACGTCTTCTTACCTTTAAAAGTCCATCACGAACGCTGCAACTCTGCTGCTAGCCGCAGATCGTGGAGCCTCTCGAGTAAATAGTCCCCCGGAAGTCAGCGGCAAGCTAACTTCCGGGGAACTATTGACGGCTCCACGATCCGCCATTGCTGTAAAGAAACTGGTCCATTGGAGTGAACGGAGATGTCGTAACTCTTCTATTATACGGCTCTGGGTATGTCCATTTGGACATCTCCCCCTTGCTGAGTCTGACATCATTCATAACTAAAGAAATCTTAATTTTCAATGTAACACAAATGAGCATGTAGGTGTTTAAATCTATTCTGAAATCCTAAAAATTAACACTTGGTAATTGTGTGAAAAGTTAATGAAAATGCTGGACACCCATCTTAGTTTTTCATCATCACGGAAGGGTTTAGTTTCAGAAATAAATGATTAAATGGTGGGATTGCATTACAGTAGAGTACATGTCATTGACACTGCATCTTTGGGTCCATTGTCAGATTTTATGAGGGCACAATGTGATGCATTCATTTCCAGGGTGCTGTATAACACGCTGTAAACCGATGACAAGATGTAGTTAAAGTTAACCGCAACATCTCGCCCACTTCTGATTCGATTCAACATCAATTCACTGACCTTGCCGCTATGTAACATGCAGCATCACATGACATGTTCTGCTTATTAGTACATGTAGTTCAGTGACCTTGTAAGTGTTAAGGTTCTTAGATGTATGATTGAATGCATAATGTATGTATTTTCTATGGGGTGATGGTTTTTTAATGTGTATATAGTCATTAATTTCAAGTCAATGTCACAAAAAGGGAATACATGTCGTTGAGTATGAATTTACACCTTACCTACTGGCATTGCATTAATGTGACTTGTGTTAGCATGAGGAAACTCTTTCACGGTTGAATACATGCAAACTCAGTGCGGGTCCTGCTAATGAGACTGAGGGGATTGTTGCTGAAGACTTACATATTGTTTATATACTGTAAGTGTCAGATGCAAACTTTCAACCCATTAGAGATCATTAGAACTCTGCAGATGTATGCTTTAACCATTGGATCAAAACCATGTAGTATATTAGATAAAGCAACCAATGCCAACATTTGTCAATCAAAGATACAGCAACATATTATTAGGGCTGTCAACATTAACAGGTTAACGCTTGTGTGATTAATCTGGAAACTTAACGCGTAACAAAAAGCAGAAGCAAGAAGAAAGTAGGCTAAAGCTAACGTCATGAGTCTGGGATCCCACACTGATAAAGACAAGGATGCTCTGGAAACTGTACAACGTAGAAGGGCAAGACAGCAGTGTCACAGAAATGCTCTGTTGAACTGGGGGAAATTGAGCGAAGGACAGACTCCAACAATACAGATACTGCTGACTGAAAATAAATATAAACACAAATGTGGAAATTGAAAGGGAAGGACAGATAAATAAAAAATGTATTCAAGAGACTAATGTAGGCTTAATGTACCGTGGGAGTTTTTATCTAAGGTGCTTGAAAGATGCGTGTGCTGTATTATTGATCAACCCTCATGGATTAAGCACAATACTGAAAGAAACACGCAAACAGCACCGTTACATTAAATCGTTTTTTTATTATTTCTAGGTGTGTGTGTGTTTAGTCTCTGTCACAGTGTGTGTATGATGGTCTGCCCCAACAAGTTTTGCCTTTATTATGTAAGTGAATTTGATCTTTAATCTGCTGACAGTTGACCGCACTTTGGCCTTGAACACACAACACTATTATGTTACTTTATGTCCTGTGTATATCTTAATGTGCCAACTTAATATTATTCACACACACACACTGAGTAAAATACAGGCTTTGCTCTCTATGATTTATCCGTCATGACAACATGGCTTCCAGTAGCTTCTCAAATGTCTCTTTTTGTCACTGGAACATTGTGTAGTGTCGCGTGAAGAGTGTGTGTGTGTGTGTGTGTGTGTGTGTGTGTGTGTGTGTGTGTGTGTGTGTGTGTGTGTGTGTGTGTGTGTGTGTGTGTGTGTGTGTGTGTGTGTGTGTGTGTGTGTGTGTGTGTGTGTGTGTGTGTGTGTGTGTGTGTGTGTGTGTGTGTGTGTGTGTGTGTGTGTGTGTGTGTGTGTGTGTGTGTGTGTGTGTGTGTGTGTGTGTGTGTGTGTGTGTGTGTGTGTGTGTTCTGTAGCAGGTTAGCATGCATGGCATACTCCAAAGGTTGCATTTTATGTGAAGATATAACGATATTGGCACACATGCAACTGTTAATGGCTTTGCATAAGAGTGTTAGTTTATTGTTAGCATGCTAGCTGTTTTTAGCACCTGAAAGCGTATGCAATGTGACAACTGGGAGTTTCCCACTGGGTAACACAGGATTCTCTCAGATTTGAATCAACATGTCTCCCAGCATTTTCCTAGCATTCTTTCTCCCCCTCACACACACGCTCTTAGCTCCCATTCACCCCCTGGAGAGTATATTTGGTACATTTTCCAACATATTCTGTACTTGTTAGATGTGTTTTCAGACTATTGAGCAATGAGATCAGGGTCTCCACTAATGCTTACTGTGAAGGCTGATGTTGGTCAATGATTCATGGACCCCTGCTAAGGATGTTGATTCCTTATATACGATGTTTTTTAAAATTCAGGGCATTATGTTCACGGAATGGAAGTGTGGATAATGGGATTTAGGATAATTTGGGGTAAAGCCACAATCTGTACTTTGTGTCCAAGCTTTCTAAAACATGCTATGTGAAACGGACAGGTATCATCCATCCATTTTTTGGGTCACATGATGAAACCTATCAAAGCCGTGGACAGGGATGTATAACGGAAATTATATTTATGTGTAGCTTAGAAAACAGAACAGAACGGAACAGAAAAAAGAATACCAAAGAATCCAAATAAACTGTATTGCAGGGATCCTAAATAGTGTTGAATACATTAAAAAATCACAACTGAAATCATGGTTCCTGATTGGTCATAAAGATCATACATTATATTTTACAACTGACCCAAGTAGTCAAGAAGTTTGTGACAAAAGCTACGTTGTGCAAATCCATCAATTATTATTTTGGTTTTGGTTGGGTCAAACGTGTTACTCAAGAATATGAGCTCCACACCTTGTATGTAAACCAAGTACAGATATTAATTGTGTGTCTGTGAATCCTTTAACTTTCCACAGTAACCACTGTGCGCTATTGAATTAGCCGTTCCCAATGCGGATTAATGACCTTCCTAAATTAACATGGATCCTCATGTGTGTGAGTATTTTAACCTTATGACTTTTTCCCACATGAGCCTGCCTGGAGTTCTCCCGCTGCATCTTTCCATTCGTCTGACTCCGTCTTTTTCCTCCTGTCTGTTCCTCTCTCTTGTTATCCGTCTTTTCCAAGCACACACCTACGCTTTTTCTTCTAATGACTCTCATATTTATATCTTGTCTCTGACTGGGACTGTGAATGTCTATGGAAAAGTCGGTATTTATGTGTCAAACTTGCGTCTATAAAAAGGGGATACTTGTAGGGGATCATCCTACAAGACTATCTGCAGTCCAACAACCATGTAACTTCATTTTGAGGGAAAAGCGTTTTGACAAAGTATATCTAGGCATGCCAGTTGCACTGCATTGCTTTGCCATTTAGTAGCACTCATTTTAATGGCTCAAGGTGTTTTTGTTTGATACGTTAAAACAAATTAACTTGGAAGCCCTTAGATCAAGCAGTAATCTGACAGCTGGAACCTAAGCTTCTTGCCTTTCTGTTTTACCACAGCTCAGTGTAAATACATGCCAAAAACAGAACTCCTGTCACATGTGTATTTCCTTTTGATTAACTATTTTGGTGAGGAATCATTTTTGTGTGACAGAACCTTTGGTGGAAAGGGGTCAAGGTCAACATTGATCTTGGCTGTTAGAGAAACAGCGAGGTATTCTGGGAAAGTACGACAACACCAGCACTGAGACATCAACGCAGTTGGTTATTTGCTCTGGCAGCGCACTGGCCCAGAGATGACACATCTGCTCAACTGAGCAAACTCATGAAATTGATTTTTGATCAGGTAAGCAACCTGACATAATGTACAATGTAGCATGAAGTTCATGAACCCCCTCATACCACAGCAGGCTGTATGCTGCGGCTCAACAAATTG